CATACACAAATTATCAAAACAACATTAGAAATGGAAGGTGAAATGCCAAGGGTAAAAGATAAACAATAACCATTTATTTGTACCATTTAAGAACTCTCTTTCGACCCAGACAGATAAGTAATGCTGTCAACAGACACGCATCAACCCAAAGCAGAAGAAAAGGGAGGAAATAAAATACCCGGCCGGGGTTAAAATAAACAGTTTCTAAGGGCCCAGTTGGTGCGCGGGTGGAGCTCATTCATAGTTCAGTTCATATATCCAGTTTGCGTTACTCACAACCAATGGCGTTCATCGCCTAAACTCCACAGGCTGTCAACGTCCAACGAAGATCTTCCTACTCGTTCCGATCCACGAGTTCACCACAGAACATCTCTCGTACTCCGGTATCCTCAACACTGCTAGCGAAGTGCCCGAAAGTCAGTTAACTGCCGGCTAGCGTGTCCAAACCAGCAACCGCAGAAGTTCTCCTCTCCTCGCGATCAACAACGTAGGTAACGGGGTTGACCCAGATATGTCAGTGTCCGCTGGCCCTTATAAAACTGTCTGTCAACTCGTATCAGCTAACAGAACACGAAAAGGAATAAAAGTCTGTTGTCAAACAGAGCCACCAGGAAAAAAAAACGGCCCTTTCCTTTTCTTCCTCCTCAGAGCCCCCCCGTTTCCATGGCAACCCCTGCTCCCAATAGAAAACCAGGGATAGAAACGAATACACAGTATCAAAAATATATATTACAATATAAAACAAGTACAATGTTAAAAGCACATTAAGTCTCAGAAATAAAACATATAATACTCTCAAAACCTTTGAATAGATTAGCTTTGTAAATGTCAGGTGGATTACAATTACATTAAGAATTACTTATTAGATCTCATATTAAACTACATGTTAGTGCACCAAAAATAGATCAAGTCTTTACCCGTTTTTTTTTTATTTATTTTTTTAGGTGTGTTACATACTGTTCTCTGCAAAGATGCAGAGGTATGACATCTGAACAAGGTGTGTATGCTTCTACGGCCGAACATGGCAGAAACCACAGAAAACAGGAAGCCACATCAAAGCCAAATACTGCAGCGCTTCACAGTGAGAAAATAAAACCCATTTTATCCCCAAAGGAAATGATCAGTTTCACTGCTGCAGGTTTCCACCATCTGCTGTGAACGGAAATGTTCCATCTTTTAGTTTACCATCATGCTTCTGTGTTTCTCAGCTTCCTCTTAGCGATGTGCCATCTAATGCACAACCTGTACTATTGTATTAACTAGTTGAACCTGAACTCATACTTTTAAATTTGTTAAAAGACAATTATTATTTTGTTATGTTATTTTGTTAGTTCTGGTACATCTGGCGGGGGAGACTTTCAGTCTGGACAGACGATTCTCCTTGGCTCTGCCTTTCTTATCCCTCGTCCAAAATACTTAGGTTAGCTTAGACTGTTCAACTCACTTTAGAGACAATTCAACCAGATCATCCAGTCAGACTGATTGAATGTTTTCTATCTAAGGAAAACCAGCTGATTGCATCGACTCATTGACTCTTCAGCAATCCCTCACACTAAGCATGCTTGTAGCGACAGTGGAGAGGAAAAACTCCCTTTGAACAGGAAGACCAGCTGGACTTAAAAAGCGGTAATATTTTTGCTGCTTATTCTTCAAATAGGCTTTAAGATGTTTTATTTTATTGTGTTACAGCTGGAGAAAACACGTAACATTTGGATAGCTGATGTAAAACTAGAATCAATGTTCTCATGTCAGCCTCATTGGGAGGTTAATATTAACAGTCAGATTCTGCAGCTTAAACTTGAGCAGAGAAATAAAGAAAAAATAAAGGATTGTGGATTTTACCTGCAAAGGAAGAATCAAAGCATGGCTTCTTGCATTGCAGCACTCCCCTTTTTTCGGATTTTTTTTCTGAAAACAGGAAGTACCCTATGTCTTGTCAGTACGTCAAAACATTTCAGGTTTCAGTTGTTGGCAGACTCAGACCTCACCACCGAAAATGAAGGGCTGGCTGGCAAATTTTCCCTTTCAAAAATGTAGCATCTTTATCGTCATCATTGTAAGTTTTATCTACAATGTTCTGCTTCAGAGGGACGTGCTCTGCTCCTGCAAAGATGATTCCATTAACTGCTGTGTGTATATGGTTGGACCTACTCTCATCATTTTTTTCCTGATGATCTGCATAGACAAGATTTTTCTAAAAGCCTGCAGATTTGAATGTACCTGTGTTGCTGCGGACAGAATGAGCAGGAACAAAATGACCAAGAACAAAATGACCAAGATCAAAATGACCAAGAACAAAACGACCAAGATCAAAATGACCAAGATCAAAATGACCAAGAACAAAACGACCAAGATCAAAATGACCAAGAACAAAACGACCAAGATCGAAATGACCAAGAACAAAATGACCAAGAACAACACGACCAAGAACAAAACGACCAAGAACAAAACGACCAAGAACAAAATAACCAACAACAAAATGACCAAGAACAACACGACCAAGAACAAAACGACCGAGAACAAAATAACCAACAACAAAACGACCAAGAACAAAACGACCAAGATCAAAATGACCAAGAAGAAAACGACCAAGAAGAAAATGACCAAGAACAAAACGACCAAGATCAAAACGACCAAGAACAAAATGACCAAGAACAACATGACCAAGAACAAAACGACCAAGAACAAAACGACCAAGATCAAAATGACCAAGAAGAAAATGACCAAGAACAAAACAACCAAGAACAAAACAACCAAGAACAAAACAACCAAGTACGGATTCACACAGATGAGAATAGAAACCAGCAGGTAGAAAATAATCAAACACAGAGAACACAAAAGACCTTTTTCTGTGGATTATTGGTTTATCACATTTTTAAAGCATTTCTAGTCAGCCTCCTGTGGGGGGTTTCGGTGCTCATTGATGGAGACTGGTTTCTTTGCTGTTTGAGTCAGACAGATTTAGCCTGCAAAGATCCAAGCAACTACACATCTGAAGATAAATCAACGATTGCAAATCAGAAGAGTACATCTAGGGTAAGTGATTTATTTAGCAGCAGATTTTGTTACATTACTGTATACAGGTGCTGGTCATAAAATTAGAATATCATGAAAAAGTAGATTGATTTCAGTAATTCCATTTAAAAAGTGAAACTTGTATATTATATTCATACATTACATACAAACTCATATATTTCAGATGTTTATTTTGTTTAATTTTGATGATTACAAATGACAACAAATGAAAATCTCAAATTCATCATATCAGAAAATTAGAATATTACTGAAGACCAATAAAAACAAAGGATTTATAGAAATGTTGGCCAACTGAAAAGTATGAACATGAAAAGTATGAGCATGTACAGCACTCAGTATTTAGTTGGGCCTCCTTTGGCCTGTATTACTGCAGCAATGCGGCGTGGCATGGAGTCGATCAGTCTGTGGCACTGCTCAGGTGTTATGATAGCCCAGGTTGCTCTAATAGTGGCTTTTAGCTCTTCTGAATTGTTGGGTCTGGTGTATTGCATCTTCTTCTTCACAATACCCCATAGATTTTCTATGGGGTTAAGGTCAGGAGAGTTTGCTGGCCAATTAAGAACAGGGATACCATGGTCCTTCAACCAGGTACTGGTAGCTTTGGCACTGTGTGCAGGTGCCAAGTCCTGTTGGAAAATGAAATCTGCATCTCCAAAAAGTTGGTCAGCTGCAGGAAGCATGAAGTGCTCTAAAACTTCCTGGTATGTGGCTGCGTTGACCCTGGACCTCAGAAAACACAATGGACCAACACCAGCAGATGACATGGCACCCCAAACCATCACTGACTGTGGAAACTTTACACTGGACTTCAAGCAACGTGGATGAAGTGCCTCTCTTCTTTTCCTCCAGACTCTGGGACCTTGATTTCCAAAGGAAATGCAAAATTTACTTTCATCAGAGAACATGACTTTGGACCACTCACCAGCAGTCCAGTCCTGTTTCTCTTTAGCCCAGGCAAGACGCTTCTGACGCTGTCTGTGGTTCAAGAGTGGCTTGACACAAGGAATGCGACAGCAGAAACCCATGTCTTTCATACGTCTGTGTGTGGTGGTTCTTGAAGCACTCACTCCAGCTGCAGTCCACTCTTTGTGAATCTCCCCCACATTTTTGAATGGGTTTTGTTTCACAATCCTCTCCAGGGTGCGGTTATCTCTCTTGCTTGTACACTTTTTTCGACCACATCTTTTCCTTCCCTTCGCCTCTCTATTAATGTGCTTGGACACTGAGCTCTGTGAACAGCCAGCCTCTTTAGCGATGACCTTTTGTGTCTTGCCCTCCTTGTGCAAGGTGTCGATGGTCGTCTTTTGGACAACTGTCAAGTCAGCAGTCTTCCCCATGATTGTGTAGCCTATAGAACTAGACTGAAAGACCATTTAAAGGCTTTTGCAGGTGGTTTGAGTTAATTAGCTGATTAGAGTGTGGCACCAGGGGCCATCAATTTTGAACCTTTTCACAATATTCTAATTTTCTGATATGATGAATTTGAGATTTTCATTTGTTGTCATTTGTAATCATCAAAATTAAACAAAATAAACATGTGAAATATATGAGTTTGTATGTAATGTATGAATATAATATACAAGTTTCACTTTTTAAATGGAATTACTGAAATCAATCTACTTTTTCATGATATTCTAATTTTATGACCAGCACCTGTAGTTTGATCAAAGTCAAACTGATATAAGGATAAAGTCACATCATTTTTTATTATAATAATTAGATTACTTTCATAATTTTACAACTTTATTCTTGTAGTTTTACGTCTTTAGTCTGAAAACCAAATATTATGATTTTATTCTTGATTTTAATTTGATTTTCCATTTATAACATTTCTCTTATTATGCCCTTAAATCTCTGTCTTGTGGCAGAAACTAGAATAATTTCAAATGTTTTGCAGTTTCAAGTCACGCGTGGAAATGGAGAAGTTCCCCTTTAAGCTGCTGCCGCTCAGGCAGAGTGGAGCCTCCTGTCAGCAGAGCAGGATCTTTGCAGCAGTCTGCGGCCACAGCTCCCAGTAAGAAAGGGATGATGGGAGCCAGGCTGCGCTCAGCCTGACTGGGAGGGCTTTGGTTTCCCAGCTGACACCAGAAGGCCGCCACAGGTGAGTCCATGACGGCCACGGTCTGCGCCTTAAGCCGCGGTCCGTGGATGCTCTGCGTGGAGGTCCGTCCACGGCAGGAAAAAACACCAACTTCACGCTCCGTGGGTTTATTTTCCTCCTGGATGAGATTTAAATTCTCTGCTTCTGGTTTCCTGCTTCAGTCTCAACGATTCGGACTTAATTAGCTGATCCTTAATTGGTCTCTACCCCCCCCCCATTTCTCCCCACTTTATTCTCTCTCTCTCTCTCTCTCTCTCTCTCTCTCTCTCTCTCTCGCTGTCGTTATTGCAGGGCCTGTTTGGGGGGGGGGGGTAACCAGCTCACCACACACCTTGTTTTATTGCCCTTCATTCAGTCTGGCAGTTTGCTGCTCAGTTAGATGGTTTATTAGCAGTAAATAAATGCGATCAGAGAGCAGAAGAACAGGGGTCCGAGCACAGAGCCCTGATGCTGTTAGAGAGCAGCATTCAACAGTAAAACTCCCTCCAGGCCTTTAGGGGGCAGTGCTGCCCTGGAATTTGCTCTGCTGCCACACAGATCCATGCAGGAGAGGAGGAACTGTTCAACACAGAGCTAAAGCAAATAGATAGTAGACTCTGGACTAGAGAGCATTGAAGGAGTCGCGTTTCTGTAACATGGATGAGGTTAGTGCAAAGAAAAAATGTAATAAATCAGGTTTTGCTCGCAGCCCCAACTCAAATTGTGCGAATCAATCACAGAGTCCAGAAATCCACAGCCTGCGATGCGATCTCACTAATCGCACATTCAGCGCAAGAAACGGCGTTAGCTAATAACAGAAGACAGAAACTCTGTTTTTGTTTTTCGCAGAATTCCTGCTAAAATCTCTGAGGTCTGGTTGTGTCACCGCTTCAACTTTAGATTCGCTCACGACCAAAATATCAAACATGTTCCACGATTTGGCCAAAAGTCGTTACCATCCCCAAACTCATCGCACAAATGGAAAACGCATCAAAAAGTCTAAAAATCTCAGCGTTTGCCAGACTTAAGCCGAGAATACATTGTACGATATTTTTAATGGTTGTACTCTGCTACAACTCAAACTTTAAACGTTCCCAGCTCGCGATGTTTGCTCTTCCACTATACGGCCCGACGCTCTGATGCGATCTACCTGCTCACACTGTGCGTCTAAAAACCACACGTCAAACTCGGCGCCGAGAGACGGCGCTGGTCGGAATCGTCAATCTGGAAGTAGAAGAACTCCCATCGTTTGCACATGCTCAGTGCTGGAGGTTCTGGTAATTCGGATCGTAGCTTCAACAGCAGGATTTGCCCACCACCACCTGAGGAGCACCGACTGAATTTCAGACATGTTGGATTTTCTGCTGACCTTATGAGTCCTGAACTGGAGGGGGTCGTTAGAGGCTGTTCGCCCCTCGTTACCCCCTTATACTACACAACACACAACTCGCGATCAGGCTGAAATTTACCCAAACAAATGAGAAAAACCTAAACGTTTGACACTTTAGCTCTAAAAACATTTGTTTATTTTAACTTGAAGGAAGTTTGTTCTGGTTTCTGCTTTCTAAGCTAAAACATTTCTGTGAATTTAGTTGGAATGAAGAATGAGTCTGTTAAGTTTATTTCTATAGACTGTCCTTTTCCAGCGGCGGTTTATAAGCAGTAGAATCTGACTCATAGGGACTCCTTTTTCATCATTCTATCTCTATAGTTCTGCTGCTATAGGCTTAGACTGCTGGAGGACATAGGGACCCCTTTTTCAACATTCTGCTTCATTCTATCTCTATTCTCCCACTCTGCAGAATCTGTTAGTTCAATCTCTAACGTTCTGCTCTCTCTGCTTTTTCTCATAGTAGCTTCATCTGGTCTGTTCCTATTTGGCTGTGACTCCATCCTGGAGAGAAATATCAGCTGTGCTGCTGCCATCAACACCTTTGTTTATAGAGGGTTTATAGATCCGCTTACAGACCAGTCTGGATGCTAAGCTAACCTCCCGTAAAAAAAGGGGGGCAGTATTGGTGGAACCAAGCTGGTTTACCTGAGTCAAAATGTCCAGTTTTAATAGTTGAGTCACAAGTCAGTTTTCCAGAATCATGCTTATTGTTTTTAGATGTTGGAGCTTGGCCTGTTTTCCAGTGTAGTCCTGTTTCTCTGACTGTGACTAACTGGATGTGCTCTCTTCATCCTCTGACATGGGAGCTGGCTCGGAGCTCGTCTGCCTGGCTGTGTGTTTCCTGGACGGGGCCGCCTGTGGAGCTGGTTGACAGTTGCCTTTTATATCTATGCTTCTTTTTCTATGTCTGCTTCTGTCTCCTTGAACCCCAGTGGGCCTCAGCAGATGGCCGCTCACACTGAGCCTGGTTCTGCTGGAGGTTTCTTCCTGTTCAAAGGGAGTTTTTTCCTCTCCACTGTCGCTACAAGCATGCTTAGTGTGAGGGATTGCTGAAGAGTCAATGAGTCGATGCAATCAGCTGGTTTACCTTAGATAGAAAACTTTGAATCAATCTGACTGGATGATCTGGTGAACTGGAAAGTGACCTGAGATGACATGATGTGAATTGGAGCTATAGAAATAAACTGAATAGAATTGAATTAAGGAACCAATGAGCTTCAGGGTCTGAGGAATGTTTCCATCATTCCAGGAAGGCATCAAACTACACAGCCATGCTGGTCATAATGTATTGCCTGATTGGTTAAGCAGTCTGATTACAGAGGCTGCTGCCCCCCCCCTCCTCTTCCTCCCTCCCTTCTCTCCACTGTTGCAACACTTCTCTGCATCCATCATCCATCTGGACTCAACACCTCCTCCTCCTCCTCTCCTTCAGTTAGAGGACCGACCCCCAACCAGCCCCCCCCCCCCCATGTTCCCTCACTGATAACAACCCCGGCGTCGTCCGTTCTCACACTCGTGAGGACAGGACGATCGTCAGCCCTGCTGCAGCGCATCGCCGGGCTTTCAGCCGCAGAGAAATGATAATTAGGAGGCGACTGACTCGGCTGAAGGAGGAGGAGGAGAGAAGGAGCCTGGCCTGCAGCAGCAGAGGGAAGGAGAAGGAGGTGTGGAACTGATCTCCATCTGATCAACAAGAAGAGAAGAAAACCTTGAAGTGGAGGCAGCTTCTTTTTTTTTTTTTTTCTACCAAAGGAGATGATGATGATGATGATGACAGCAGCGGAGGAGGGGAAGGAGGAATGAGCTGGGATCGATACTCCTCCCTCCATCACCTCCCCAGGAGCGGCTGAAACCTGTGAGGCTCCGGTTCTGTTGTGGTTCTGTTTGCCGTGTCGTGTCACATGCTGGTTAAATAGGCCGCCGTGTGCGGAACGTGCCGTCTGCGATTAGCGCCGCTGCCGCGGCTGCAGATGGAGGGAGGCTGTGCGTGGAAATGATGCGTGGGCTGAACGAGTGGCGGAGAACATGACTGTAAAACAGGCGCTTAGAGTAGCGGCGCTGCTGTTAGATTACGGCCAGATTCTATGAGGGATGGGAAGGATGCAGCTGATGACCTGCCTGCAGCTCTAATCCCAGCAGCCGCTCGGATGGATGCAGATTAACCAGATAAACATCACTGTTCTTCTCTTAAACAAAGCAGAAATGTTCCTGGATTTATGGGTGGAGGAAAACCTTTAAAGTTTCATCTTAAACCTGAAGGATTCATTCACCAAACGCTTTACAGATCCAGAAGCTCCTTCAGGAGGATTCCTGGAAGGAAGTTCACGATGATGCAGGAGTTATTCACACAATCCAGATTATTTCTGGCTCTCTGTCCTCTGAGAGTGACGAGCATCAGGAGCGTCATTATTAGATCAGCTTCTACACACGGCTGTCTATATCTACAACAACCTGTTGGAAAAAAAGAGCCATCAGGTGCGTAAGCATCTAGAATCCCTCTGGGATCCATGAAGAACTGAATGAAACGGAAAGTTGGTCGTTATTTAGGCCCAATGCTGACTTCCATCGGCTAGAAACCTGAGAATTAGTTTAATTTGTTGGAAAATAATCTGGAGGAAATGAAAGGTGCGTTTGGTTCCTGTCAGGGCTTCAACTGTTGATTCTTTTTTCCATTAATCGATTGATAATCAGGAAGCCAAAGGTTCCTTAAAGAAGACTTTTTGTGGAATTAAACCAGCTGAAACTCAAACATACCGACACAGAAACAAGGATTTATATCCGAATGTTTCCTTATATTATTTTACAACTTTGATATAATTCCTGCTCTACGTGCGTCGCTCTGTCGGCTAAAGGATTATTTATTGGGCTCTATACTCCTGTTTCACGATTCATCAATTACTAAATTGGTTGATGATTATTTCAATAATTGATTAATCTGATTAATTCCAAAAAAGTTCAAATAAATCCTCTGGACTTTGTTTCCAAGTTTGAAGACGTTTCTCTTCCATCCAGGAAGCTTTTCAATTCAAAATGTCAGAAATAGCGTTTAGTTCCAGGTTTATATCAGGCAAAGTGGGCCCCTGAGGGCCGCTGTCCTGCAGGTTGTAGAGCTTTCCTGCTCCAGCAGCTCATTTCCGTTGGTAGCTCATTAACAGGCTCAATATTTCTGGCTTAGCTGAGCTTGGAGCTCAGGTTGGGGTTTAAAGCTGGACTCCACTGGGAACCCCTCATACACACGCCTGATGGCCCCTCATACACACACCTGATGGCCCCTCATACACACGCCTGATGGCCCCTCATACACACACCTGATGGCCCCTCATACACACGCCTGATGGCCCCTCATACACGCGCCTGATGGCCCCTCATACACGCGCCTGATGGCCCCTCATACACGCGCCTGATGGCCCCTCATACACGCGCCTGATGGCCCCTCATACACGCGCCTGATGGCCCCTCATACACGCGCCTGATGGCCCCTCATACACGCGCCTGATGGCCCCTCATACACGCCCCTGATGGCCCCTCATACACGCGCCTGATGGCCCCTCATACACGCGCCTGATGGCCCCTCATACACACGCCTGATGGCCCCTCATACACACGCCTGATGGCCCCTCATACACGC